TCACCGCCAGCCCAAGCCTTTTCATCTGCCTTGTTTTATTGTTTATGCATTCTGTGAACTGCTTCTCAGACTTTAGAACCTTCCAGGTGCTGCCAGCACAGCACTGGACTCTCTGTTAATTCTCTCTCAAAAAACTCCAGCTTGACACACATCTCACCACCTTTGCCTTTGAGGGACCCTGACAGACCCCTCTTCTGTTTTGTCCTTCTCTCAACCCCTCCTGAGTTCAGTTAATTAATCTATTTGTGAGCTGCACTAAACCATTTGGATTCACCAAGTTTCTCCTGCCTTAGAAAGTCCATGCTCCACCATGGGCCTCAGCAAAGCCACTGAAGGCCCATACCATTCCCCCGCGCCGCCCCCCCCACCCCCCACGTCCCCCCCACGTCCCCCACTGCTGAATCAGTCTCTCTCTTAACTCTCTCCTGTGAACCCAGCCCTGTCTAGTTTAGTGAGCCGCCATCAACCAGCACCTTCCTATACTCAGTTCCCCGACAATGCCTGTTCTTCTTGGATTGTCTGTCAGTCCCTAACGTTTGTGGGGACCTCATAAGGCAATAATGAAGGGTTCCCGACTGCTCATAGGAGCCGTCCTGTTGGATCCCGGTTCCTCTTGCATTGCTTCAGTCTCTGCAGCCTTTCTCTCAGGGAGGGCTGGACAGCCATGTTAGCAGGTTTCCTATTTCTGCGGCACTCAGTGAATCCCATCTGCTCCCGCACCCCTTGGCTTCACAGACCAGGCTGTGATCCTTACAGAGCTTGTTTAAAAGTCCTTCCAGCCCAAGCAGTCCAGATGCCGAGCATCCCCTGATTACACAGTGTTTGGTACGAGGTCATTGTTAATGTTCCACCTACATGCTGTACCGTGGATATTCTCTTCCTCTGTATGAAACGTCAGTTCCAAAGGGTATCTTTTATCAGTTTCACCTTGTTCTTTTCCTCCTTGTTATCCAGCTGCTCTCACAGTCTCCAGGGATCTTTAGCATAGATCTAATTCACATTCTCTTGCCATTGCACCCTGCTAGCTATAGGAAACAGCAAGCCAACATCTCCATCTCCTCCCTTCTTCTTCTTTCCTTGACAGCTTAGAGATGAGCGTGTAGACACATCCACACATCTTTTCCCCACTGTAAACCCTCCCCGCTTCTACAGGCAAGTTCTTTCTGGAAGAACAGCCCAGACTTGTTTACATGTCTTACTACCCACAACACAAGCCATGCAACTGATTCCACAGCCTGCTTTCAATCCTACATGTGATACTACAGACATTACGATATACCCTCTAGTTCACCAGAAGTTCAAGGGACATCCCCACAGTCACATGGTAGCTCATCAACGAAGCACAGCACCCCATATCATAGAGAAGATGGCCACCCTAAGATTTCCCCCCTCAAAGACACTCATTCTCTGACAGCTTAGCCTTGGTTATATGTCCTATAACTCATCTCAAAGAGCATGCGACCACCACCTTCGTAAGGACGCCCATCATCTCAAACCACATGGGCAAAGATCCAGGCGGAACTGCCTGCTCCACAGGTTGACTTTGGCTGCATATGTCAACACACAAACCAAGATCATGCAGCCATTCCTCCCCAATGCAAGGGCCCTGCAGCTACTCCTTCCCAATACTTGAGCCCCACTTCATTGTCTGGCGTGGTCAGACTATTGATCACCAGTCCAACCAGGGAGGCCTAGCACGGGCGGGGCCAAGGCAGATCACCCAGGAATAAGAACACCTGGGAGACTATATCAGAGGACAGCTCCTTTAGGTTTCGGATTTCTGGGTCTTGTAAGTTTTGATTAGTCCCCGAGTCTTAGCCAGCTTCCCTCTCTCTTCCTAGTAGGAAAAGTTTCAGTTTGAAGGTGCTTGCTACACCGCAGCTGGATTCTCTGGTGCAAACCCCCTCACCTCCCTGTAGAGGGGAAGAGAGAAGAGGACCAAGTGGCCAAGGCAAGATTAAGTTCCCTAGGGCTCTTCTTCCAAACAGGCCTGCCTTGTCTCATTCCACCTTCGGCTATAAGGTGAGTCCACCAATGGTGGAGTCCTCGGGATCTGACCAGCACTGGAAGTGTTCTCATAGACAGCCCGGAGGTGACTTCACCAGTCCCTCAAGTGTTTGTTTCCCAATCCAATAAATTTGATAATCAAATTTAACCACAACAAAGAAGTTCTAGGTGAAGGTGCCAGCAGGTCCCCGCATGCTCTCTGGTTCATAGGTCTTTGCTTGTTTCCCCTGACAGAAGTAATGAGGGGCTTCCCAGTCTCTCTATAAGGACATGAATTTCACCCATGGGGAGTCTTCCTTCATGATCTCTTAACATTTCGGCCCATCTTAGAAACTAGGATATTTCCCTCTCTCTCTCTCTTTCTCTCTCTCTCTCTCTCTCTCTCTCTCTCTCTCTCTCTCTCTCTCTCCTCTCCTCTCCCTTCCCACTGTTCCTCCCTCCCTCCCTTCCTAGATGCATTAATGATGGAGTATTGCTAACCCATTCTATTCTCTTCCTTGGCATGAATGCAGGGAATTATCTTTCTGCACAGAAGCCTTTTGATGTAAAGTTTATTTCACATCGGAGGCTGTATCCTGATGGTCACTATATTGACTTTTAAGTGTTCTTAACTAATCCAAGATCTAAGCAAACTGAAGAATTTCTCAAATAAAGATCCACTTGTGCATACTAGAGGTCCCCTTTTCCCTGTCACTTAAATTTGTGATATTTGTACATTTACAAGACATGTGCCACAGCCCCCGGGATCCCAGAACACCCACATCCCAGGGGTGATCCATTACACCCTGGTAGCTCTTACATCACTGTCAGGGTGGGGAGCCAATGCCCTTGACCCTGGTCTCTCTAGCCCTGTAAAGAAGCCTCCCTCTTGCTCACATCCTTTATGGCTGCAAGGCTGCCTGTGAGACAGGGCTGGCTGTGCAGGCTCCACAGCTGGCTCACATTTTTCTTGTCTTTTTGGCTGCTGGCAGAGCTCCTCCTTCTCCACCCAGCATGTTCTGTCCTCCACACGACTTGGTGGTTTTGAGAACGACTCTTTGTTCACTATCAAGGGAAATCTGTAGTCTCTTCAGTTTGGATGTTGCCTCCTACCAGACACTGGCAAAGCCCTACTTAGAAAAGAACGAAAGAGCCGAGGGAGGGGGCACCCGCGGGGATGGGAGGCGGGCAGCCACAGGGTCGGTACACAGATTCCATAGGGAGGGATGAAGCCCCAAATTGCAATGCTGCTTGGGTCTGTCTGAGCTTGTGACCTGGCCAGTACAGAAGTGATAGGCTAGAAGATTCTGGGTTTTTCTGCCCTAAACCCTAATTATGTTCTTACACATGTATATAACCAACAAAATCTCAGGGATCATTGCCTTTGGGTAGTAAAATATTAGAAGTGGGTTTTTTTTTTTGAGGGGGGAATCATTTGGTTGATTCTGTTTCTCTGTATTTTGCAAATAATCTACACAAGGATTTTAATGGAGGTGTTTGTCATGTGTGTTCAAATGCACAGACAGTTTGTAAGTCTACAAAGAAATGCAAACATTTTTTTAAAAGAGGAAATTAAACAAATTTTTAAAGTCAAACAAACAAAGGCAAGGGATGGGTTTGCGGCTGGAAATCCTCAATCCAAGGACAGTAGCTCTGCTGGGGCAGCCTGAGTACACAGCCAGGCTGGAAACCTTTGTAACATTCTTCTGGCGCCACCTGCTGACTTTTACAGGAAAGGCAGCTTAATTTAGTGTGCAAAGGAGCCCAAAACTGGAGAGGCAAGGAACAGCGGTGGGATACACTGAAGACTGCATTGTGTATACAGTCTTACCTGTCCTTACCTACAGAACTCACTTTTAATTTTGTTTTTCCATAGTGATCATAGCAGGAACAGTCTGGAAAGTCTCGATGTTTAAGGCCTTGAGACAGTCACCCATACCTAGCCTCCCGCCATTTGTGTGGAGACATGATTCTAGTCCTTCCTCAACTGTGCCTAAGCATGGATGGTCGTGAAGTCCTCAAGGGAAAACACTTTCAGGGCCATAATCTGTGCATAGCTGGTTTCTGCTTCCTCTAGCTCTATCTCTCTATGGGTCTGTAGCCTACTGATTGGACTTGGGGCTAACCTTGACTCTCAAGTATCCCTAGGGACCCCAAACAGCCCAAAGTACTGGGAAATCCTCAGCTTTGTCTCCACTCACTCCATCTGGCTTTCCCATCTAACCAGGAGAAGCCTAGCAACTCTTCCATTTGTATGGGCTCCAGCTACAGGGTATGGGGGTACAGGCAAAAGCCAGTCCTTCTTAATTGTCCCTTTCCTTGCAGGCTGCCTGAAAGAGGCCCCTTGCCACTGGAGGCTTGTCTTAAGTGTCAGGACAACAGATGTGTCCAGCAAGGCTTCCTTCAGCCCCCTTGCCAGCGGGCAATGGAAGCCACCCAAGCTGTAATTCTGAATATTGTTCTCAGGTCTTTTTTTAAGTTTGTTTTAACTTCAAGATCTTCACGTGGTTTTATCAGTGAAGAGGCTTTAATCTTCCAGGATGGAGGAGTGACCAGGGAGCCCTTGATTGGTCCTGCTGCGGAGGGAAGGGCTGCCCGGCAGAGAGGCCCCCTCCCCCGGCAGTGCCTATATAACTGAGTGGTAGCCTGGTGAAAGTGTTCCGGAGAAGCGTGGATTCCTGGCTCCAGACGCTACCGTAGCAGAGAACAGAGGTATGTGGCAGGGGTTTCCCAGGCCCAGCAGTGGCTTGTGACTTCCCTTCCTGTCGCCCGGTCCCAGGCAGGGAAGCTATGAGAGCCCTATCCTAGCTTCCTCTGCTATTCCCATGCTCTGATGCTACTGAGAAATGCTACCTCGGGGTCAACTGGCGGGAGTTTTGTTTCTGCTTTTAAGCCCTTATCTGTGAAAACTAAGTCTTCTCTCAAGAAATCTGTGCTTTTATTTTTTAAAAATATTTGACTCACTCTTAGTGCTATTACTTTTATGATATTACTTTTAAGATTTCTCCTATTATGGTATGGGTGGATATCATGGGGTACAGCCCCTGTGTGGGAGATCAATAAATATTAACTCCATACTTGGACCTTTTTGGGAAAAAGTTGATTTGAGTTCGTTGCGGTCAGGGTGGGAGGTGCTGGAGGTTGGATACTTTAGCTGCCCAAGGGCTGAGACAGGCAGTGCCCACGAGGATGGGGCAGTGAGGTCCCTCTGCATCCTCCAGAAGTGACTGGCAGGGTAGGTATGGTCTTCTTGGGCTGGAACAGACTTATGTCTTGCTTTGGTTTTTGTTTGTAAAATAAGCACCAGTATTGCCCCCAGAGTTACACACTCTAGCAGGAATATCGAGTCTGTCTGGGGATGCTCTAGAGAGAGCGCTGGAGACACGCCTGCTCTGGCACTCCAGGGACCCACAGTCATTCTTCATCTAGGTGACAGCCTGACCCACTGTGCTGCAGGAATCTCTCTATGTCCTTGATCAACACAAAGATCTTGGTGCTGGGACACTCTGGGGCTGGTCCACAGTGACTCGCTTCGGGAGCAAGATGTCACAGCTGATACATCTGGTGACGATGGGGGTGGGGAAAGCCCCTGAGATCATCAGCTCTTTGGACCCTGGGATAACCTTGGCAGTCTCCCAAGTCTTGCTAACATCCCTTTCCTCTAATGAAGGAGTTCTCGACCTGCTTAATGCTGCGACCCTTTAGTTCAGTGCCTTTTGTCGTGATGACCCCCAGCCATAAAATGATTTTATTGCTACTTCATAACTCCAGTTTTGCTATGGTTATGAAATGCAGTGTAAATAAGTGATAGGCAGTATATCTGATGTGTGAGCCCAAAGGAGTCGAGACCCACAGGTTGAGAACCATTGCTCTGATGTCTCTTAAAATCCCTTAATAGCTCTGATTTCTGTTCAGTTAGGAGTCATCATGCCACCAGGAACACAAACCATTAGCAGTACCCGCCTCTGGCTTCCTCATGGGCAATGGGACAGCTAATGGTGTCTGCTCTCAGAATCGATGTTGAATTCAAGTTGGCCACCTACTATGGTGCAGCTCTGGGCAAATTACTTGATAGCTCTGAATCCCAGAACTTCTTATAAAAATTGGATAAAAGTACTTTCTCCTGGTGAGAATTAGATCATATCACAGAAGGACTCGGTGTAGTAGTTGACATTTAATAAGTGTGTAACTAAAATTATAAGGATGAGCAGAGGACACACTGCTCCCTGGGTGAGATTGGGAAAGCTGCCAACAACACATTTTGATGGTGATGTAGGAGACCCGGATCCCAGGCTCTGCAGAGATGGCTATGTCCATCCTCCCTTTGCCCTCCAACTTGGCCTCCTCCTCTCACTGATCCCTTTAGAACCAGCAGCTGGTTTCCTAGAGGAGACCGTGGAATGGATCTCGGCCAGCGCCAACTCAGGGAAATCAATAGGAAGTAAGGAAGACTGAAAATACAGCCTAGATTAGGCCCTTTGGTTCCAACTCTTACCTTCCTGGGGTTGTGGACTTGAGAGACCTGGGCAGCACAAGGGAAAGTTGCCTACATGGTGCATCTGTTTTCCTATGCATGGTTAACAGCTTGCAAAATCGCAATGTACAGCTTCTCATTTGCCCCGAACAGTGAAGAGCAGACCAAGTGGAGAAATCACTGGGCAAAAAAACAAGGCAAGCTGATAGTAAAGTTGACCCTAGGCAGCCTGTGCGTAAGACATCATTATGAACCGAGGCTTCCTTTAAAATCTGTCACCTCTTGGAGGGTAGGAGTCCAAGGCCTGTAGGGAGGATAACAGCCCAGTCTTTCCCTTGCAGATTCTCACACCATGAAGAACCGTCTGGGCACATGGGGGCTGGCCATCCTCTGTATGCTGCTTGCCAGCCACCTCTCCACGGTCAAGGCAAGAGGCATAAAACACAGGTTCAAGTGGAACCGGAAGACCCTGCCCAGCAGCAACCACATCACCGAAGCCCGCGTGGCTGAGAACCGCCCAGGAGCTTTCATCAAGCAAGGCCGGAAGCTGGACATCGACTTCGGAGCAGAGGGCAACAGATACTACGCGGCCTACTACTGGCAGTTCCCGGATGGGATCTACTACGAAGGCTGCTCTGACGCCAATGTGACCAAGGAGATGCTGGTGGCCAGCTGCATCAACGCCACCCAGGCAGCCAACCAGGCTGAGTTCTCCCGGGAGAAGCAGGAGAGCAGGCTCTACCAGCGAGTCCTCTGGCGGCTGATCAAAGAGATCTGCTCCACCAAGCGCTGTGAATACTGGCTGGAAAGAGGAGCTGCACTGCGGGTCGCTGTGGACCAACCAGCAATGGTCTGCCTGCTGGGTTTCATTTGGTTCATTGTAAAATAAACAAGGAGACTAGGAGCCACAGAGGTGAGCTGGTGGGCAAAGGTGGACATCGGTACCCTAGTTCTCACTCTCTAGCCCCACGTGTCATGAAGGTACCAGCGCGTAGCGATTCACGGCACTTCAAAAGTCCCTCCCAAGTATGCGTCCTCCCAACCATGTGTTTAATACGGTGTTTCAGTGCTTTCGCAACTACACTAGGTAATAGACCAGGGAAAGAACACAGAAACCGTGCTGTGCCCTACACCTGATCCCCCAGCTCGTGGAGGTAGCCAGGAAAACCGTGCTTTCCATTGCTGACGTCACCCTTCAATACAGACAGGAAGCCACAGAGCTAGGGTTCTCCTGGTCTGTCTCCCCTCAGGTTTTCTGCTCTGTAGCCCAGAGTTATCTCATGACCGCTTCAGGACTCAGAGGTCCAAGTCCAGATTTGTGTGTGGGGTGGAAGCCACACCCTGAAATTAGTGGGAGTCCCTGAGCAGCAACTATGCACCTTGACACCTTACAGTAAGACTGAAATATTACAAAGATGTTAAACTAAGTAGACCACTACACTAGACAAAGGTTCAGAAATCAGACTGCAGGGAAATCTGCCACTCACCTCCCAGCGGGCAAGTTCGGGGCAGGGTGTGTTTGTGGCGCCTAGATTCTAGTCCACAAGGATTGGTGTTTGCTGCTCTGGGCTCTGCAAAAAATCTGCAGAGTTAATGAACCCCTTGTAAATGACATGTTTGAGTCTTTGTTTTTTATTTCTTTGTTTTGTTTTTCTAGATGGGAATCTTTCTACGTAACCCAGGTTGGCCTCAAACTCGCAATCTTCTGGCCTCTGCCTCCTGAATGCTGGGACTGCAGGCGTGCCACCAAGCCCAGATACTTGTTTACTTCTGATGCCCCCTAGTCCTGTGTGTGTGTTCTTTGGTATCCTGTGAGCATCTTTAAATGCACTTCCTCTGTGCAGAGTTCTTCACAAGCTATCAGTTTTTGAAACCACTTTGGTGAGGGTTAGTCTCCATGAATCATTTAATACTCCAAAAACATAATTACTGGTCAAAAATGGTATTTTTCAAGAGACTCAATAAAGAATTTGTCATCACAGGAATTGATATACTGTTCTACCACTCTGAACATAAATATGTGTTAAAATATGACTATTATTTAAAATTTTTAAAAATCTAACTTTTTTAGATTCTTCCACAGGCCCTCCTCCCCTTTGGGTACCCCCAGGATTTGCTGAGCAGTATTGGGGTGTATTATCTTTTAAAAGGAGCAGCATCTGTGAGGAGGGGTGGGGGGGACACACGTGTATTGTCAAAGGGTTCATCTGCAGCATTTCAGAACAACATGAGCACTGATATCAGCACCTCGTGTGCCGAGTTCCCACTGCTATCAGGTCTTCTCAAGGACACCTCTGGGCAGCTTCACACGGTAAAGGGACGTGAGGCGGGGAGCCCAAGGACACACAGCCTTCCCCTTGGACCTTCTACCACTGGTCAGACAGCGCAGAGAAACCAGCCTGTGGCAGCAGTGTCCCGCCAGCCCAACATGCCTCCTCGGCTCCCACTGTCAACTAATCCTAAACCAGAGAGCAAGGAGAAGCCCTGAATACAGTTTGTTCCTTGCATGCCATTTTAACTATCAGGTAATAAAGAAAGAATCGTTCTTAGACAGTGGTGTTGGTGTGTCAACTTCTGACTCAAGGCTTAGTTACCAGGGTGGACACACAAAGCTGTCGGCAATCAACTTCATTCTGATACAAAAAGGCTCAGACTGGATGTAGTCCGTGTTCCATGATCACTGTGTTCTCTCATACCATTGGCTATAACACCAGCGCACTGAACCATGACAGTTCACGTGTGATTTGACTGCAAATTTTGTCTCTTTATTTTTTAGCCGAGACGCCCTTGCTCTCCCAGCTCAGAATGAGAACCTTCTCTTCGGCAAGAGTTTACTTACTGGCTCTCTATTAAGAACAGGGCCCCTTAAGGCACTTCTAGATTATTCTGGTAGTGATCTGACAACATGAACGATTTTACCAGCCACTGCTTTCTTATCCCTTCCAAGTGTTACCAAGTTAGGATGTGTGTGTGTTGTAGACCTGCTGCACAAACTGGAGCAGAGAGAAACGTCTGCGCTTCGCGTCCAATTCCACCAGTGCTGTCTTCCCTCCTCCTGACTCCCTGTTCCTTTACTCATTTGCAAATGCAAATGCAGAAATTTGCAATCCTAATACAGGTGCTGGATACCATAAAGCTTTACTTAACCTCAGTTAGTTAGTGCTTTCTGTCCATTTTATAATGACTTAGGTTTTCTTGTTTCTCCAGCCCCACCTCCTCCTTCTAGCCTAGTTTGAGGCGTGAACCCCTTTACTGTGTTTAAATATAAAGACAAGGGGTTTTATTTTGCTTCATTACAACCTTTAACACACTACAATTTTGTGTGTAATATTTGTTTCTCTGCAGTTTAACTTTCTGACTTAATAGACTGCCATTGAGTCCCTGGACCAATATCTAACTAGTTAACATGCCCGTCTAGGTGACTGTGAAACATTCCACAGCACAGATGTGCTGTGACTGACTTAACAATTTCCTTGTTGGTAGAACTTCAGGTTGCTCTTACCTGGCAAACAACAAACACCTCATACAGACAGTCGCAGTGCTTGGTGGTTTTACTTCTGTAGAAAAAATATTTGCTCCCACAAAACCCTAAAACAAACCAAGTCTATAACTCAAACTTTCCTTGGTATCCCCTGCTAGTGATGCCCGCTGCCCCAGCATCGTGAGAGTGATCCCTTTGAAGTGTGAGAAGCTGATGCTCCCTCCAACACTGTTTCTGCATCTGCTGTCCTCAGCAGATAGTACACAAAAGCTTCCTGAGGTCCTGGAGGAACATTCAGACAGCACAACCATCAGCACTGTCTACTCCAGACCTGGGCCTTGGCTCAAAATACGAGGAAGGGAAACCTGAAAATTAGGCAGTGGACCTTCCACTCCAAGAGCAGTGTCTGAGGACTCCACCTCCATGTCCCCAGCAAGAGGGGACTCCTGGGGTAAGGTTTAGCCCTCTTTCGACAGACTCAGTAAAGTCGTCCATGCTGGTCTTGCATTCCTGTGAGAATGTTCCAGATTGTAAGGCTCAGTAGGAACAGGATGGAGCCAGTAACCATAGCAACCCCTCCACTCTCAGCTTAGGCAAAAGATCAATCAGCATCCCTCTCAAGCTCCTGGTACTTGACATGGCCCAGGAGGCAGATGCCAGCCTGCAGAATCTCCTCCTCTGGACCTCGTGAGATGTGCTCCTAGCAGTGGTTGTGACCCTCCCTACCCCAAACTCTCAGGAACTGGCTTGGGTGGTGGCACATTGAATCAGGGACCCGCAGTATGGACACACCCACACCTCTACCCAGCACTTTTTCCTCTATTACTGTGCTAGGCAAGGCTGCCCTAAGGTGCCTGGTTATGCCCATCTGGCACATTCTGGAGTCTACCAGGGTTGGTACTGAAACACTAGCAGAAGGGCTCACATGCCCCAAGGCAGACAGCATTGTAACAGAGCACACTTGTCAGGAGAATGATCAAGAAGATCTCCACTGATGCGTCATTGTGACCAGTTCCATAGGCCCCCCACTAGAAGCTTAGAAACAGCTTTATTGGAAAGCAGACCTGTTCATAAGCCTGGCCAAGCCAGCAGCCACATACTTACCCTTACTGCCCTAAGGCTATGAGTCAGACACAGGGCAGAGATCCATTTCAACTGGGCACCCGAATTGCTTGGAGAAGGCAAAGGATCAGACCAGCCTACCACTGGGAATTTGAGAACTTGTCAATGGGAGTAAGTCAGCCTTGAAACAGTGGGGTTAAGCTACTGTGCTTCAAGGCTTCTCTAAGCCCATTCTAAGCTGTCCAAAGAAGGCTCTAAAGAAACACACTCTGCTGATCCCTTAGCAAATAGGAATCATTGCTTGGACTTGGGACCTCAGGGGTAGTGTCACCTCTGAGTAGAAATAGGCAAGAAAGCCCAAGGTCCCACCCTCTGGACCCCAAAGTCCAGTAGCTGTCACATAAACACTGCGCCCAGAGATGGATGGAAGGACTGGTTTTTGCTGCTGCAAGCTTCAGATCAGGAGAAGCCACGTGAGCTGACCACCCTCATTCATAAAGACCGTCATGGTTGGCACAAAGGTGCCCCTCGCAACTGTGAATCTCTCAGCACTCAGCTGTCACCACCTTCCCCAAGATGCCTTCCCTGTGCACTGGTCTCCCTTGGCCCGCCCACCTGGGGATTCCCAGATTCTATTTTGGTACTAACCCTTTTATGGAAGAGGTGCCTTCTTAAACAATGTAGATTGTTTAAACTCCAGCTGACTTGGCCCAAAAGCTGTGGAAGGAAATTATCAGGAGGCAGAAAGGAACTAGAGGAAGCAGGAAACAAGCAGGCCAGGGCCAGAGGTACTAACTACCACAGCTGGCCTCCCTGGAGGGGGGAGGGAGGAAGGGAAGAATGGAGGGGTGGGAGAAGGTCAGAATGATGAAGGGTAGTGGAGAGCGCACCCATGGGTGCCCAAGGAAGATATCCCCACTCATTCTCATTAGAGATGAAGTGAATACTGGGACTTACCAGGGAGGATGTTAGCCTCCCGTGCCCCCAAGTAACCCCTGTGGGTCAATTCAGCACCTCGGAGAAGGGTTTCAAGAACAAAACAGAGTCCAATAGGTAAAAGCTGCATCAGTGTGTGGTTCTAGAATTTCTAAACCTATAATTAAGCTTCTTACATTTTTAGCTGGCATTTTTTTTCACCCTATGTTACCTAGCACTCAAAAACAAAAAGGAATAGGATGTAACTTAATGGTAGTGCATTCGCTCAGCATCCATGTGGCCTTGGATTCAAACCAAAGAACGAGAGAGAGAGAGAGAGAGAGAGAGAGAGAGAGAGAGAGGGGGGGGGGGGAGGGGGGGAAAATGAAAAGTGTGAGTAAACCAAAACAAGTCCTTGAAGTCTGGAGAATTTCTCAGCAGTTTAGAGCACCGACTGTGCTCCAAGGGCCTGGGTTCCTTCCCAGGAGCCACATGTCAGCTCGCAAACTGTCTATGACTCCAGTTCCAGCAGATCTGATGCTTTCTTCTGCCCTCTGCAAGTACCAGGCACACATACTGTTCACAAACATACATACAGGCAAAACATGTAAAATGAAATACAAAAACATCATCAACCATGTCCTCCCCTCCACTTTCCTTTGAACAAGAGGCAAAGGGTTAGTGGACTTTCCCTAGCCTTCGACCCACTTAGAATGACCAAAGGGCAGTGGCCTCTCCCATCCCCCACTCCTGTGTTAGCAGCATTTTCTGGCTTCTTTGGTTTGGGAAGAATCAAAGAAGTACCTTGGTGTTGTCTGTACTTTTGTTCCTCTTAGCAGAGAGGATGCTGGCCTGTGCAGGCAGATGCTCTCAGAAATCCAGCTATTGGGCCTCACCTGGGGCAGGCTTCAACTGCTATTATTTTTCTATAGGGCCCCCATGTGCAAATTTCCAGGCCATTGGCCCTTTGCTTGGAAGACGGACTTGATTTATCAGATTTTCCCCTCTAGGCACCAGCACAACCCCTCACTTAGGATCAGTGTTTGCCTCACCCAGGGCTTCTTGCCTTCCTCCCATCTTTATATCCACAAACTCTGCCCACATCTGGAGCTCCTATGCTGAACTGGTCCACAGTAGTGGGGACAGAGACATAGTCCCTACATATGTACCCACGGATAGCCAGAGGTGTGTCGGTACGCCATTGGGGGATGGAGATAAACTCTTTGTCTCCTTCTATGGTGTAAATGGTGATGTGGCCAATTTCAAGATCCCAGCTTGACATCCTAAATGTAGAGAGTGAGTGAATTCATATGGATAAAGCTCAGAGCCAGTCTGACCAATTTCCAATTTAAGTTTAATTTATAGCCTTTGCGCATATTAGTTAATTTCCATAAACAGTTTCTATAGCCTTCCCAACTCAGAGCTCACAGAAGCTCAGCTGCAGGGATGAGAGGCTGCCTCCTTAGCCAGCTGGAGACCCAGTACCAGGCGGGCCACGAAAAGCCGAGCCCAGAAGAGATGTGGCACAGACCACCAATGGAGTTGAGGCTAACTTAGCGGTGACTGTGGTCTTCCTGTTACACGCCCCACGGCTTACCGGGCTGTTCAGACATCAGCACGAGGGAATCACTACCATCAGCTTTCTGTCTTCAAAGCCTAATGGAGACATAAGAAAGTTCTAGCTCACCCCAAATGTTCTCAGGCATAGCTCAATGGCAGAGGGGAGGGGAGATGTGTGGAGGGAGGGCCCAAGATTTTTGCAGTTGCCCAGTGGACACCTTACTCGGTGAGGACATTGGTGAGCAAGAAGCATGGAAGGCCTTAGGAAGGTAGAGGCTGTAGTGGGAAACCCGCTTGTTTCATTCCCTGCTGCTCAGCCCCAAAATAATCACACAGAAACTGTATTATTTAAATCACTGCTTGGCCTATTATCTCTAGCTTCTTATTGGCTAACTCTCATATATTAATTTAACCCATCTCCATTAATCTGTGCATCAACATGAGGTCGTAGCCTACCAGCAAAGTTTCAGCGCCTGTCTCCCGCAGTGACTCTATGGCTTCTCCCTGACTCTGCCCTTCCTTCTCCCAGCATTCAGTT